TGATTGAAAATATGTGTATGCCCGGCTTTAAACTCCGAATGTTTTTGATGTTTAGTACGGGATAAATGTGCTAAGTGACCAAAAGAAAGAAACTAATAAATGTCCTAAAGATAGTCCTGGTTTGTTGGCTTATTGAAGTCCTTTTCATTTAAGGCCTCTTTTAAACTCCCCACAGGGTAAAGTGTCATCTTTGGTTAGTTAAAATCGTAGGTAAACGGCTGTTCCAACCGTTGCTGTTCCAAATTCGCCCGAGTGGTGCCTGAATTTACACAAGAGAATAAAGTGAATGTGATTGGTCGATTATGAAGGGGCCGGGATTGTTGTGGCTGAAGGTTCGCAAGAAAGTTTGGTTGTGGCCGGTTTGTCGGAAGCATCTTGCTAACCAGTTAGCAACTTAGTGCTATTTGGTATGAAGTAGCACTAAATAGGTGACTTAGAAACGACACTGTCAAGGATCGCTATGGACAGCGGAAACATGCAAGAGGAGGAGAGTTTAGTGTCGGAGGTCGTGGATGAGTCTCCTCCGTCATCCATTTTTTATTTAGAGGAGGAAAGCGGGGACGAAGATGTTGTGGAAGAGGACGCCAGGGCGGCAGAAGCTTGGTTTGGTGTAGAAGGCTTCCAGCCGTACGTTTGAGCCCTTGCCTCGCAACGCTGCCAGTTCTGTTAGCTCTACGCCTGCCGAAGACACAGACGTCCACACTGGGACGGAATGCAATGGGAAAGTACATAATGATTCTTATTTCTAATTTCAATTGTTGCTTATATTAGCTGCGACATATGAATCAAGATGCTATGGCCGAAAAAATTTGATTGACGGTTGACCGTTATATGATTGGCCGTATTTAGGTGTTCAAGCTGAGGTATAACTAACTGACCGAATTTAAGACAGGATTTTTTCTAACTTTTGGGACAATATTGTCTGGTAAAGAGTACATTTATATAAATGTTTAAGCCAGAATGATTAGAAAATTAAATATGATAACTTTAAGCAAAAATACATCCAGATAGTAAAACTTTTGTGAAGCTCAAAATACTAAAACTAGAGACTAGCTGAGGAAGCCGGTGTCATACTCACCAGCACTTTGGGGAGAAGGAATGGTTGAGTCCTCCTGGACCAGGCTCTTTCTTACTGAGAAGGAACTCCTGCAGCTTTAGCTTGACTTCTGTGCTGGCAATGGCGCCTTCCAAAACACAAACATCCGGCGTTCAGGATGTTAAACTGTCTTTACATTCACATGGCTATTTTAGGTGTAGCCACTGATGGCAGCACTGTAACCTACTCTCTTTGCTTTTCTCTTTGTTCCTCAGCAGCAACAGTTGTTGTTCCATTCTCTGTTTCTCCTGTTCTTCGTGCCTTTGTTGCTCCAGTTTCCTTTTGTGCTCCATCTCTTGTTGCCGTTTTGCTGCCAGCAGCTCCTGTTGTTGCTAACACACAGAAAAACACATTTAGAACCTGGGTTACAGGTTGCTTCTGGAGAAGATGGATAAACCCTTAGAAGTGGTGGCTGTACTGAGAGTGTAAGCTACCTTTAGGTGCTCCTGTAACTGAACCTCATGTTGTCTTGTCAACACTTCATGTTTTTTCTGAAACTCAGCAAACAGCAGCTGTTTCTGGAGTTCCTGCTGCTGTTTGAGGAGCACCAGCTCCTGCTGAAGCTGTTGCTCTCTCAGGGTAGTGTCCACTGCTCCGCCACCAGACAGAGACCCCACCCTGGGCTCTGTTCTCAGGTCGACTGGGCATCCACCTCCACCTGGGCCTTCTCCAGAACCACCACCTGGACAAAACATTACAGAAGGTTCTTCAGGTTCCTTCACAAACATAAAGGCCTGCACCTTTATGAATTCTTAAAGGTATAGTGGAGGACGTTCTTTTTCCGCGTGGATCATCAAAATTCTTTTTTTGTGATATATTTATGTAAGGCCATCCTAGGTGCTCGTCCCCATTTTTACAGTGGTGAGTCTGACATAGTGGAAAAATTACAAATCTTCTTTTGTAAAGTAAGCTTGCATGAGCGATGCAAACAGCAACTTTTAAACAGAGTGTGCAAAAGGAGAAATGGGCTTGTGCAGGCTTTTGCAAGCATTAAATGGACATTCCCTCTCGGAGCGCGTACAGGGTCTTTTCAAAAATTTGCTAAGATCCTCCACAATACCTGCAATCTCCAACCCAATTTTTTTTCCATGTCACACTGACTACGTAAAGAGAGACTCCAACTAGGCAGGGTAAGCAGATCTGCGGATTTTTTTCACTTTTGTCTCTGTGCTAAACAAATTTAAACAATTTCCCACATTTGCCTTTGAAACATTATGAAAAGCACTGGCGTAACTTTCTGAAGGACTGGTGGGGACATGAGTCCAATCTTGAAATGAGTGGGGACAGTCCCCACCAATAATTTGTACATTTGTGTTCGTCTCACAGTAACCTCAACCCGCTGCTCCTGAGTCCCGCCCACTGATATAACATCATTGGAT